CCTGCACACCCCCTACTTGGAATGTGCCCACAACCAAGGTACATGCCCTTGACCAGAATCAAACCTGGGACCCTTCAGTCCACAAGCCGATGCTCTATCCACTGAGCCAAATGGGTTAGGGCTGTTAGTTTTTAAAATGCAGTCTAACAATATATGTCTTTAAACATTGAGTTTGTTTAGATTTGATGTAAGTACTGGCATATTTACATTTGTATCTACCATCTTATTCTATACTAGAGGCCCAGTGCACGAAATATATGCACGGGTAGGGTCCCTAGCTGCTGCCGGCTGCTGTCCAGGGCCTTCCTTCATTCCATGTGGCCCCATGGTGATCGCCGCACGTCATAGTGAGTGATCAAACTTTTGGTCAGTCAAACTCTCGAGGGGACACTTTGCATATTAGGCTTTTATATATATAGATTTTCTTTTCTATTTGTCCAACCTGTTTATATTTTTTTCCTATTATGTCATATTTTAAAGTATTTTCTTCTCACTCAATTGTTCTACCATTGTATTCTTAATAATACATTTTTGAAGTATTCCTTTATGTGATACTCTATTAATATAATAATAATGAGAATAGTAGTAATAAATACTGAATTGATGGTTGCCATGCTAGGCATTATAAATTGCACTATACTATTTTCCTCTTTATTTTTAATTTTTTTTAATATATTTTATTGATTTTTTTACAGAGAGGAAAGGAGAGGGATAGAGAGTTAGAAACATTGATGAGAGAGAAACATCGATCAGCTGCCTCCTGCACACCACCTACTGAGGATGTGCCTGCAAACAAGGTACATGCCCTTGACTGGAATCGAACCTGGGACATTTCAGTCTGCAGGCCGATGCTCTATCCACTGAGCCAAACAAGTCAGGGCTATTTTCCTCTTTAATATGGTAAATTTTAATATCTTTTTTATCATATTTGAAAAATTTTATGCTTCAAAGGACATAGTCAAGATAGTGAAAAATCAACCCATCCAGAATGGGAGAAAATATTAATATATTATATATCTGATAATGTACTTGTATCCATAATACATTAAAAATTCTTTATATCTATAAATATAAAAAGCCAGCGACCAGAAATCAGTAACGACTGGAACAACTGGTTGCTAGGACACCCACTGTGGCTAGCAAACTGGCCCAATCACGGGGTGGGGCTGGCCAGCCAACCTCCTGCAGCCCCTTCCCCTTGCCTGGCCCCTTCCCAGATCGGCCCCTGCACCCCGATCAGGGGCAGGGGCGCCCAGCCATCTGCCTGTGGCCCCTCCCCTGAGCCAGCCCCACCTCTGATCACCCCCCCCACCCGAATAGGGGGCAGGGCAGGCCAACTTCCAGCAGCCACTCCCCTGGGCCAACCCCACCCCCAATGGGCCCCCACTACCACCATTGGCCCGCAGCCCCTCCCCCTGGCCT